CCATTTGACTTTGCACTCTCCCCCACTCCCCAAATACTCTGTAAAAGTTTTCAGGCCGATTATCAGCGATTAAAATTATTAACCTTTAAAATAAGATGATTTTTGAAACTGTTGTTCGGCAGCTACAAGGTATAAACATTAAAAAAAACAAATGACAAAGTATGAAGTCCGAGGTCCACTCCAACTCAACATATATTTATTTATAGAATCATACAAAAAATTCCATCAACAGAGCATTATTTTCTTGAGGAAAAAATGCCTACACTTTTTGCAATAAAGTTATAAACAACTATTTAGTTGTAATAATCGTTGAAAAAAGGGCATTAATTTATTTTTTATTCATCGTGATCTAAGTATGGCACCATATATGGCTAAACGCATGTCTTTAAGTATGGCTTAAAGTATAGCACAAAGTACGGCTCAAAGTATGGCTCAATGTGTGGCTGAATTTATGGCTCAATGTATGGCTTAAAGTATGGCTTAATGTCTGGCATAATGTCTGGCTTAATGTCTGGACTTATACAAAACTGTATGATCTTTTCTCTAAAGTTAATCGACACAGTGTATTAAAAAAAAATTGTATCTATTCAATACTGCAAAATATTTTATCGAAAATGATGTTGGACCTTGGACTTCAAACTTTGTCATTTGTTTTTTCTGTACAGGTTACGAACACAGTTAAATTGGACGTAATGGTGATACAATTGTTCTATGTAGCGAAGAAAATTTAGTTCTGCTAATTGACAAAAGTTTTAAGGCACTTAAAAGTGTGTATTGAAAATGTAAAACAATTTTCTAACCGAGTACGTGAATGATCAGAGTTAATCAATTAAGTATGCCCATATACATATTTCTAACTCCAACATAACTGTCTTAGACAATGCCTTCAAAACATATCGGTACTCGTACATAGTCAAAATACAGTAACAGGATGATTTGTATTTACGTAAATAATAACGCTATTTCTCCTTCAATGATGAAGTGGGGATGGTGGAATATTGTACCAAAATAAGGTTGGTTTGTTAAACTATAATGAACACGTAATCAGTAAGCGGCTCCCTTCTGGCTGGATATCTGGCTCAAAGTTTGGCCGAATGTTCGGCCAATATTATAGCTAAAAGTGAAGCTCCAAGTATAAAACGATGTGTAGCTAAGCGTATGGCTTAAAGTATGGTATAAAGTCTGGCTCAAAGTCTGGCTGAATGTATTGCTGTAAGTAAAGCTGAATGTTTAATTAAAAGTATGGCTAAAGGTTTGGTTTCAAGTACTGCTCCAAGTATAGCTCAAAGTATGACTAAAAGTATATCTAAATGTATGGCTAAAAGATTGGCTTAAAGTATAGCTCAGAGTGTGGCTAATTGTTTGGCTTAAAGTATGGCCATCCTCGTCGTCGTCGTCGTCATCGTCGTTGATCACCATCATCATTGTTATTATGTGTATTATTATGGATATTATTATTATTACTGTTATTATTGTTATTATTATTATTATTATTATTATTATTATTATTATTATTATTGTAGTTATGACTATTATTATTATCTTTTTTTTACTTTTTTCTGCTTGTGTATCTGAGTTAATCTAGAATGCTTTGATGCACGATAAAAGGGAGTACGACACCCGTCCCTGTGTTAGACTCGCAGTAAGCCTATAAATTTCCATTTCTCGCTACGGTGTTATTCACGATAATGACTAAACACCCACTTAAGTGGCAAGACTTTTCTCCGGGGACACCTGACTCAAAATCTGCTTTCACATTAATACTTCGAGCCAGGGTCACACAGTGTTGACCATTGATGTGGCCTTTAGTCGCAGTGTCGTTACCGTCATGATGTTGCCTTTTCTTTACTCCATCTAGTCGTCTGCTGTTTTGCGGAAACATTGATTTTTGCTGCTTTCCCTTGCTGATGGCTCGGGTAAGTCAGGGCAGCTTTGGTCTGCAATGGTCATCTAGCTTTTATCCTCTTCAACTCTATCTGCGTCTAGTAGGCACCTTACTTTTGGCCACTTCTAGTGCTTTTCTAAATGCTGGGCAGCTGTTGCTATCTTCTCCGTGTTCGGCATCTTCTGTTCCGCAAGCGAAACATTGGGCCTCCTTCTTGGAATCTTTCTTACGGTGATTGCAGCTGCCACATCGAAAAAATAGCTTCGACCGATCCTCCTTGTTGCAGTTCCTGGCTATTTGTCCATACCCCAGACACCGGTAGCGTCTGAAGACTTCAATCAGTCTCCTCACTTGGCAGCTTGTAAAGCCTATTAACGGCCTCTTAGTTTCTTCTATATATCTAGCATAAGTCTCTCCAGTATTCACCAAAGCTACATTTTGCCCTTAATTATTCGCTTCTAGCAGCGTCAATATTTTTATTTGCGGCGAGCAACCAGGGATTATACGTAATGCACGTTTGACGTCAGCTTTCTCGGTAATCGGATCCAGATCCCGAATTTAGAATGTTACCCTTTTTTCGTCTATTTTAACGGATTCTAGCCCGTTAACGACCTTAGCTTTAGTGTAAGCTAAAGCCTCTCTGCCCTTTAACCTTAAGAAGAGGGTCTCCCTTTTTAGTTGTAGTGAATCGTTTGACTGTGATCTCGTCATCTTCCAGCTTAAAATCAGTCCTCATCCTCTTTAGGACCTTGGCAAAGCTCTGCCCTTCCACAACCTTAACGAAAATTTTCTTCTTTTTTCTAGCATAATCACGTTTGTCAGTGTCACTTTTTTTTGGCATAATCACGTTTGCCACTGGCTCTTTTTTCCTCGGGCTTTTTTTCTTTTTTTAAAAGGGAGGTTAAGGGTCTTCTTCGGAGCTTCTGGGCTCTTGTTCCACTTGCCTTTCAGCACGTTTTTCATGAATCTAGATTGGATAGAGTGTATGATTCTCTCTTTCATTTGATCCGTCTGTCTTTCGCATCAGGTTATCATTGGCGTATTATAGGAGGTTTTTTATCTTCTTTCTAGTCTCTTCACGGCTAGGCTAGTGTTTTTGTAAGAAAAGCAGCATGAAATTTACGAAAGTGTATTAAAATGTAGTTTTAAAAATTCTAAATATGCTATTACTGTATCGTCATTTAACAAATTGCATATAAACTGTGGCGAGCTCTTTTTTTCTTTATTGCCACTGTTAGGCGAATTTTTATGGCATTGAAACAAGAAATAAGACTTTAGAGGAACTTTTAATGGAACTTTTTCATCCAACATTACAATAAGGTGTTTTTTATTCTACAGTGGTCGAGAATGTTGTTTAAATTTTTTTTTATTTTTCTATTTCAATAAGCTAGTACTACAAGCTGGCGAATTTAAAGATTCTATTTTTTCAAAGCTACTAAAAACTAACAGCCCGAAACGCTAAGGAATGTCATATAACTGTTCTAAGCGCTCGGTTATTGACTCCAGAGGCCAATTTTTTATTGACTCTAGAGAAAAATTACTTTAATTAATAATTTTTCTGCTACAAAGACCGTCTTCTACAACTTGTTTTAAAAGCTACATCGATAGCTAGAATTAAACATTTCTAGTAGTCTACTCATAAAACTTATTTTATGAGCTTTGCGTCACCCTATGCATAGGAGTACAATATAAATTTATGTTGCACTACAAATCTGTGTCAAGTTATAAGATTACTTTTAATATCTTTTATACACACTAGTATGCTATAAATTTTCAAGCCTAAAGTATTTCAATATTCATGATCGAATCACCTGGTGTCATAAAAGCTTATAGTAAAATACACCTCATGGTAATTTCAATTTTAAAAGTTCAAGTGAGAGCCTACATATCAAAGTATAAAGTACTTCTATGGCAGATGATGTATTAATAATGATATGTTTCCTATGAAAGAGTATTTTGTTTAACACACTGCGATGTATTGAAGGTGGTGCAATCTCCGTTAAAATAAGGATTTTCAGTAGTTCAGTGTGTAATTTAAGTCAATGTTTTAATATTCAATACATGAACAATTATAAATGATTTATTATATAAATAAGAAGAGTACTATAGTACCGCTTTGTCTTGAGTAGAGTAGTATTACATACTAATGAATGTAGCTTAACAGAAAAAATCACTTTGTTCACGTATAGAAAGATTTAGAAAGACTAGGACAAAATAAAAATGTAGTTATTCATAGATTTTAAAATGAAAATTAAATATGAAAACTAAGTAAACTTGTCTTAATGTGCGGAATAGCTGCAACTAAAGGAATATTTTTAAAGTTAAAAAAAATTATGTAACTTAATACATAGTTAAATAATGGATATAGTAATGAAACTAAATTATAAAACAAACACTAAACAAATATCCAAACTATAAAATGAGTTACGAGCTGTACTATAAAAATTATATAAACGAGAAGTAAGAGCTTCTTCCATCGGAGTAGCTCATAGCAGAGTAGAAACGATGCCTGTTTGATTTGATTCTCGTAAGAAATTTCTTTTTTGTTTTCAGGAGAATTAGTTTACGAATTGAAATTCAAAATTTACTTTCTTTATATATGTGGTTTGGCATTAAGGTGGGATGCAAAGGGAGGAAACAAAACTTACTTCCATGATATATTTTCTCAAGGTCACAATTGTAAAATCGTTGGTTGACTCTAACGCAGAACAAGCCTTTAGAAATTTTACTTTAAAAAGTTTTTAAAAATATAATAATTCATTTTTACTTAACATACAGTTCATTGAAAGATAAAGAGAATACATAAATTGACAACACCTTATCCGACTTCAACTAGATAATTTAGCCGACCTGATGAAATCTTTTTTTATATTTTTTCTATTTTCTTATTATAACATAAATTATAGTATTGCGATAGTGTACCACTAAAAATGTTTCTTCTTCCAACGTAGGTTAAAACTTGGTATATCGGCTGTAACAGTTATAGAGGAGTGAAAAAATATGTAAGAACTGTGTAAAATTATTTATGATTATATAGTTACTGTTAAACATATAAAAGAATACAATAATTTTGATTTTTGGCTTTGCCTATATTTAAAGTATTAACTTTTATATTTTTCAGTATCTGTAAATGATTTACAAATATTTCTTATTTTTAGTTTCAAGCATTAAAATCTTCTTAAAAATTTAGTCCATGTTGTTTTGATGACGTAAGGAATTTGTTCATCAAACAATTTGCTTCTTAGAACTTCTTTTCATAAGAAATTTGTTGATCTAACCTTCTGTCTTAGTGATTACATCTAATAAGTTAGCAGTTGTTACATATATTTAGTAGAAGTAGTTACTTTTTTAACTTTATTCGTTGGAAAAATTCGAACAAATGATTTCTGACAATAATGTTTCTTGAATATGTGACGATTCAGAATTTTTCTTGTTAGAGTCCTGTTCTATTAACATATTTTTTATAAGTACATTAATTATAACATGAAGTCAAAGAAAAATTATTCAAAACAATTTTAAACTTACCACTTGGCCTTAAAACTAAATAGTGCAGAAGATCTGATAATGAAATTATTCCAATGACTTTCCCATCTTCATCTACAACCACTAATCTATGAACCTAAAAACAAAAGTTTTTTTTAATTTTACCAGCAACCTACAGTTGTAGTTTTAAAACGATTATTTCTCATAAATTTTAAGAAATTTATTCGCATAACTGAATGACGGAAAGTCTAATAAATTTTAAATAGAATTTACCAGCAATCTTAATATTTACTAAATTTTATTTAGATTCTAATCTCTTATAATGGCCGGGACTTTAGTTTAAAATAATTGGTCGAGTACAGTGTTAGAACTAATGACAAATAAGTTGAGGCCATCTAATAAAAGATACTATAAGTATAAAAAAAAATTTGTTTATTAACTGTAGTTGTGTTCTATTCATACAACGTTGATAATAAGAATTAAATAAAAAAAGATCCCTCCACTTTCTCTTTCTCATCCAATTTAATTTAAAAAAGGTTTGTTTCCAAAGTGTTTCACGTAGAGCGGAAAAAAATGCTGCAAATTCAGTGGCATAAGATTTTCTTATTTGTGGTTTCAATTCCTCATTATGTTCGTTTTACTTTTGTACCAAATACAATAAAATTTCTGGATGACATCCATCATTTTTGTTTAAGACTATTAAATTGAAATTGGTCAAGCAAATTATTTAATATCATTTGTTGTACACGCATGTATGTACTTATGCATACCAGCATATAATACTCTTTTACATTCATATGTTAATGACAATTTTCGTATGACTGTGAGACAAAACTTAAATTTTTTTCAGAAAATTAGTTTTTCTATACAAATAAAATCAAAAAAGAAAACGACTATTGGAGAAGATTTTAAATTTTTTTAGCGGCATCAATAAGGTAAGACTACACTAAAACTTTTAGTAATGAATAGAGTAAGTCTTAAAATATAATTAACTATTGCAGTAAAAAAGCTCGATTGGTTCTGGCTTCATTGGGGATGAGGAGACCATGTGGAGCAAAGAACGGATATGTTATTATTATTTTAATCTTTTTACCAGAAAAAACTTCTTCTCTCTCTATATGCGCGTGATGTAGGTACATGTTACTAGATACATATAGAAGTTCAGATAAATGATGTAGGTATATTGAAAATTAGTCATGCTGCATACAAATAATAACGAGTTTTTCAACGTATCAGTAATTATTTAATTTACTTGCTACAACTAAAGTATGGATAGATGGAATAACAGATAACCTTCAGCGATTCAGATAAATACTAAAAGTTGTTACAACAGTTGCGTGTTAAAAAAGTCATGAAAATATTCTTGTATACTTTTCGTTCAAAACTAGTTTTCCTTACCCTTTCTGTCCTTACGACTTCTTCTACTCACATTGATTGTGACTATAGAAAAATATACACACTGAATTACATGTGTAAAAGTGTCGACCCAACACTTATCAAAACGAAAAATAGTGTTAATCCAACAGCAATTAAGAATTAAAAAAAGAGTTTCGTGAAAATAACAAGAAAAGTATTGATAGTAAAGAAAATTCTAGAAGATTCAAACAAAAAAGAAGAAACCGAAATGGCGGATGAAGTAAAAATTCCGGTGTTTCATGGAATGGATTTTGAGTGTTGGAAAAGAAGAATCACGAAGATTCTAAAGCTGAAAAAATGCGATGTTGAAGCAACGAGAGCCATGAAAAGGGTGGATGAAGAAAAATAGTGGATCAAAAAGGACTAAAAGGCGATCAATGTAATATACAGTAAGATTTCAAATGGTCAGTTACAGTTCATGAAGGACAAGAAAGCAATGTACAAAGTATTTGAAAAATTCGATGAAATGTATATAAAGGAGTCTACTACACTGTTAATTTGTATCAGAAACAAGTTGAAAATATTAGAATTAAAATACTTAAACTTCAAGTGCATTTTTCATTAAGTCTGAAGTATTAACTAATGAATTAAAAAGTGCTGGTGCAAATGTGACTGAAAAAGAAGAATTAAGCTACATGATAAAAATGACTTAATCGATGTGATAAAAAAAAAATCAAACAGTTGAATACGTGAAAAGTAAAATACAAATGTTTGAATTAAAAGAAAAAAAAGGTGGAAGCAAAAACAGTTCAAATGCGTTTAAAGCTGAAAGAAAAAAAGATACAGCATGTTTCAAGTGCGGAATATATGGATACATCAAGGCATGTTGTACGAAAATGAGACAATGCGATAATTTATGGGAGTTAGGTAGGGTACAGCAGCAACAAAGCGGAGGCTAACAACAACAGCAGTGGCATAATCGTGGTGGCCGAAGCTAAGGTCGTGGAGCTGGTAGAGGTTCTTGTCAACATCGTTGAGGAGGCGATTGGCAGAAAAATAATTAAGGACATCAAAACAAAGACAGTAATGTGAGTAGTTTTAATGTGAAATTCAAGGATAAACCTAATGAGTCGCATGTTGAAGTAAACAGCTGTGCTAGTAAGGTTGAATGGTTACTCGATAACGGTTGGTCTAATCATGTTACAAATAATGATGGATATTTCAATGAATCAGTTGAATTAAAACAGCTAATAAATGTAAAAGTAGGAGAATAAAGGTTCTTGAAAGCATCAAAAGTTGGTAATATTAGGTACTATTTTTAATGTTTATGGTCGAAATAAAATAAATATAATGAAAAATGTCTTTTTTATTGAAGATATGAATAGAAATTACCGTATTATGGTAAAGTAAAAAAAGAAAATAGAATTGCATCAGTAGGAAATATGTCAAAGACTTTTTATCTAAATGGAAATTTAATTGTGTTGGCAATTAAAAATAATGATTTTTATTACATGTCAAATGAAATTATGTATAGTGAGACAAATTTAATGACAAAGAATTAGTAAACAGTAAAGAAAAAAATTACATAGAACACTAGGTCATGTAAATTTTAATCATTTGAAAACAATCAAGGGTTAAACATATTTTAGAAATTATATATACCCATTTAAATGGATCTTATAATACTACTATTTGAATGGTGAAAAATATTGTTTGAGTTTTATCGATGATTATAGTAGAGTAGCTAAAGTTTATTATATTAAATCAAAAGATCAAGTATATAACTGTTCAGTTGATTATATTAATTTAATTGAAAGTAAGACAGAAAAAAAGATAAAAAGATTAAGATGTGACAATGGATAGGAATGTATAAAAAAGGATATAGGTAATTTTGCAAGTGAGAGAGGTATTTCAATTGCACCGTGTCCACCTTATGTACATGAATTGAATGGAACAGCAGAAAAGTATAACAGGAATTTCATGGATATGTCTAGATTTTCATTAAAAAAAGCAAGGGTTCATAATATATTTTGGCCAGAAATAGTTCAAACTGCAGCATATTTAAAAAATAAAATTATTACTAATACTGTTAAATAAAACCCCTTTTAAAATTATTGTTGGTGAAAGGCCTAGTATAAAAAATTCAAAAATTCATGGAAGTTGAGTTTTTGTTAAAATTCTCAAACAAAAAAAATTCAAAATGGGACAAAAAACAAATTCAGAAATTTTGTTAAGTTATAAAAATGTTGGTTATAGAGTCTGATAAATAATAAAATAGTAGTAGCTTGACACGTTGATATAATCGAAGATGGCACAAATTGCATTGGTTTAAAATCGGAAAATGACATAGTAAAAGCAAGTATAAGTGAAAACAGAGTTAAAAACAAAAATGACGTGATTTAAATCCAAACAGAAATAATGAAACTGAAAGTTTTAACTTAAGACGGTCAACTAAAAAAAAAAAGAGCCTGATAGAAACAGAGACGAGAGTTTCGTATATAGCCATATTATTTATGTCACTTATACAAATGCTGAGACACCTGTTTCTTATAATGATGCAATTTATACTCATAAGTCTGAAAAGTGGAAGACAGCAATGGATAAGGAAATGTATTGTTTAAACGAAAATAAGACTTGGATTTCTGTAAATAAAGTAAATGATAAAAAAGCTTCAGATTTTAAATAGGTTTATATTAAAAAGGCTAACGATATTTTTAAAGATAGATTATTTGTTAGAGGTTATCAACAAATGGATTTAATTGATAATATTTATTTACAAGTTGCAAGAATAAAAACTTTAAAAATTTTACTTTCTTATTATTGTCAAAACGGTTCAGTTATTGAATCGATGGATCTCAAAACAGCGTTCTTGAATGAAAAGGTAAGATCTGAAGTATATGTAAAACAGCCACAAGACTATGACGATGGCTCCAATAAGGTATTCAAATTAGATAAGGCGTTGTATGGGTTAAGAAAAAGCCCAAGAGATTGGTATAAGTGTTTTGATACTTATAAAAAAAGTTTAAATTTCAAAGGAAGCGAAAAAAATTATTGCTTATATATATAAAATGTTAAAAATAATGATGCATATATTTTTTTTGTAAATAACTTATGTATTTGCTGTAAAAATTAAGAAAAGTTGAATTTTTTGAAAAATTTATTACTAAAAAGATTGAAAATGAAAAATTTGAGAAAAATTAAAACTTATTTAGGTATTTGCATCAACTATGACTATGAAAGTGAAAAAGTGATTCTTGATCAGAAAAACTATATTGAAACACTAGCAAAGACATATGATACTATAAATTTTAAATTGTTTGTAACTTCTATGAAACAAAATTTTAAACTGGAAACTGCACAATCAGCATCTGATAAAGTTAAGCACAAAAATTCAATTAGAGCTCTTTTATACATTAGTTTAGGAACTAGACCTGATATTAGGTTTACTGTTAATAATTTAAGTAGATTTGAAATTTGTTATAAAAGTGTTTATAATAAATACACTTTGAGAATTTAAAAACATTTGTACTTGACAAAAAATTTTAAATTAATTTTTGGAAAGGAATTTTCTGATAATATTATAAATTGCTATGTTGATGCTGATTAGGCAAAAGATATTAATGATTAAAAGTCAACGAGAGGTAATGTTAGACGAATATATAAAAATATGATTCATTAGAAATTAAAGAAGCAAAATAGTCTTGCAAAATCCTCAACATCAGCTGAGTTTGGAGCGTTGTCCGAGTGTGTAAGTAAATTAAAAGTTGTAAGAAATTTGTA